AAAAAAATCATTGTAAATGTATTTAGATAAAAACCTTATGTAATGGTTTTAAATTTAATTGAATAAACTCTGTTTTAAAGTGATTTAAATTTCAACACAACATATTCGATGAATTTTATTATGTTAAATTAGAATACTTTAACGACTCAGGCACATTTTAGAATTTTATTACAACCTATGTTTATAATAATTCCATTCTGATGTACGATATATAAATATTAAGTAACACTTAAGTTGCAATATTAGTACATAGTTCAAAATATTAAAATATATTGCTATGTTATACCTTTTCTAACTAACTTAGTAGTTGGATTCGTCAACTCATTGCTCGAATAACCTAAATTTATCATGATTCGAATCATGCAATTTTTAACTTACAATTCAAAAAATGTTACATATGTCAAGGTTTAAAATTTTTTTTTTTTTGCTAATTGGAATATACTTTTGTAAATAGTAATTTAACTTTCAAGACAAATAATTCGAGTAAACTCAAACGAATTACCTCAATCAAAGATTCAGTGCTTTTTGAGTTTAACTCATGATAAATAATTCTCTTATTTAGAGATGTATTAAACTATTATGCTTTATATTTGCTATAACTTTAATTTGTTTAGCACATTCTACTTTAGAAATCTATATATCACAAAACAAATAACGTAATATATGAATATATATTTCTTCTCATCTATATAAAATGCATAGTGTAATATTATAAAATTCTTGCAGTATTTTGAAATATTGAGATAAAAATTTAAATATATATATTTATTTTTTTCTCAAAAATAACAATAATTCTTGTCAATAACAATAATATATATGACTGTTAAGATAAAAAAAGAAAATTAATATCTTCGTTCTGTTCAAAAATTATATATGCTAAAAAAAAGACTAAAAATAGTACGAATGATTAATATTTAATTTATAATTATCAGAAAAATTAATAATATATATTTTAATTTATTGCAATTTGCAAAATTATATAAAAAAGTAATCAATAATTTCTAATTACTGATTTCTGATTTTTTCACCATTTTTTTAACTTTAGATTAGACAAAATTTGCGCATCTATTATTTTTTATAGAAATAAAGGTTGCATATTCATCATTTTGTAATATATTTGCAGTAATAGGAAATTTTTAATAAATGCGCAAATTTTGTCTAATTTAAAAGTCAAAAAAATGTTGAAGAAATTAGAAATCAGTAATCAGAAATTAGTGATTACTATTTTTTAATAATCAAATTTCATATAATTTCGCAAATCGCAATAACAAAAAAAACTAAGTTGGTTACCAAAAGTTATTTGCTACTAAATATTAGTTGCAAAAAAGGAAGCTTCCAAATCAGCTGAAAACAAATTATTTAATAGCCACTTGGCCTTACGGTCTTTTACTGGATGCTCTTTATTTGCTAGTGATTCATTTATATTTGTTGACCCTAGATCTAATAAATCACCTTCGAAATCATCATCAGTTGCAACATCATCATCTTCATTAATTTCTACACTGCAGTTTTCATCATTAGTTGAAGAAGCATCTGACATGTCTTCAGAATAATCTAACAAAAAGGTTGTGGAGGTTGATTCATAAAGTTTATTAAGTTGGTCTAATTCTTGAATCCGGCGGTTTTGAGTAAGTATTCCATGTAATTGACTAATTGCCAATGCTTTCTGAAACTGTAATTTAATTTGATTAATTTAATATATATATAATATAAATATATATTATTTTGGTTATACCAACATCTGGATATAACAACTTTGATATAACTAAAGTAATTTGTATATAAAAAGATATAGTTTGTATATTAAATTCAAATATTGTAGTAATAAAAATCGAACAAGATTTTTATTCTAATTCAGTAATTGCTTTTATCTGAATTAGATATACAATCTTATAAAAAAAATTTTTTTACTGGTAGTTTATTATGCTGACTAGAATGAATAAATCCTATTGAAGACCAAAGACGTTCAACAGAGACCACATTTATACAAATTCCATGAATTTGCAATGCCACCTGACCCAATTCTTTAGCACGTGATGCACAATAATTTCAATACCCAATAACGTCATTGCCAAATTGTTTTGAGGTTTTAGTGTTAAATGGTGATTGTTTTTGATGAAAAAGTTCAAGCTTTCGTAGAATTAAATTAGGTTCTTCATGAAACCATACAAAATAATAATATTGAACATATTCGTCTATATCAACCCATGTTAAAGTTTCTAAATCAGAATTGAATTTCTCCATTTGATATGATGGATGAAGAATAAATGATAATATTAATAGCGGCTGTTCCCAGGAGTTCCATCGTTTTTCTAAATGATTTAAAAGCTGCAAACTAAGGTGAGTATCATGATATTCTTTAATTATTTTGGCTAAATAACCAAATGAATGCAATACCTCAAAAAGCCATACTTTGTCACGCTGCAATAAATTAAGACAAGCACAGTAAGGAAATAATAAAAATTTTATGCTTTTTATTTGTCGCCACCAATTGTCATCATTAATAATATTGCAAATTTGGTCCGGTAGTGTTAAATCAGAAGTATTTAGAAGATCAGATAATTCTTTACTTGAATCATGTTCACGGGGCTCATATCTTGCAACTAATGTCTGATTAAAAAAATATTATTAATAATTACTTAATAAATATGTACTAGTTATTTGTTGTATTGTGAATGATA